GCCCCATCCTCCTGACACCCACCCTTCAGATATTTGTAGGCATTTATAAGGTCCCCTCGCAGCCTTCTCTTCTTCAGGCTGAACAAGCCCAGCTCCCTCAACCTCTCCTCGTAGGGGAGATGCTCCAGTCCCCTCACCATCCTCGTAGCCTAAGTAATTCCTTTGGGGAATTACTGTCCCCAAAGAAAGATCTTCCCTGCTTCGTTATGTGCTGAAAGTGGGGACACAAACATCATTTCACTTTGAGACAGGCTGGCCCCAAGCTCCCCTCTGCTCCTCCCGTGTCTTTCAGAGACAGGTTTACTCCTGTAACGCACCCAGGATCCGCCCCACAGCCCCAAATCCAGGGGCAGACACGTTGAGAACGTAGACCTAACAACCAGAAGCTTTCCTGCAATATCCCGACCTGTCTCCGAGTCAGGAACGGGATGGTTTAGGAAAACACTGATGGAGAACTCCCTGTCTCATTTCACACTTGTGTTTCCTTAATTATTTTTATCCATATAGATACCAGAGCATTCCCTGGGTCCTTTTACATTTCTAGCTCAGTGATACTGCTGGTTGCTTTAGGAAAACATCAGGGCATTGCTTAGTCAGGGCAGGTCAGGGAAAGCTTTGAGTGTGATGTGCTTCGAACTGCGGGCAGGGCTGATGCCAAGAGGGATGGAGCAGGACAGGGAGACATGGAAACAGATGTCAGAGCCGGGAAAGGAGACCTGTTCCCCTGCAAGGCACCAAGACGGTTCCTCCTGCCGCTGTTGGGACGAGGCAGTTAGCAAGCCTGGTTTGAAGATGCCAGACTTAGGGCTACGAGGATGATGAGGGGACTGGAACATCTCCCCTACGAGGAGAGGCTGAGGGAACTGGGCTTGTTCAGCCTGAAGAAGAGAAGGCTGCGAGGGGACCTTATAAATGCCTACAAATATCTGCAGGGTGGGTGTCAGGAGGATGGGGCCAAGCTCTTTTCAGTGGTGCCCAGTGACAGGACAAGGGGCAATGGGCACAAACTGAAGCATTTTAGGTGACCCTGCTTCGGCAGGGGGGTTGGACTAGATGACCCACAGAGGTCCCTTCCAACCCCTACTATTCTGTGATATTCTGTGATATTCTGTGACTTCCATGAGCAGGGCTTTTTTTGCAGCTGTCAGGTGAGGGAAGCGCCGTTACGGCAGCGTAACTCAATAACGCTTTCGGCATCGGAAGGCCTGCGCCCTCCCATCTCCCAGCCAAGCCCCGAAAACAAATCCGCTCTGCTTTGTACTACTGTGATATTCTGTGATATTCTGTGACTTCCATGAGCAGGGCTTTTTTTGCAGCTGTCAGGTGAGGGAAGCGCCGTTACGGCAGCGTAACTCAATAACGCTTTCGGCATCGGAAGGCCTGCGCCCTCCCATCTCCCAGCCAAGCCCCGAAAACAAATCCGCTCTGCTTTGTACTAATTGAAGAAAACATTCAGCAAGCAGCTCATAAACACGGTGTCAGCTCGCATTACACAAAATTAAAATTCTCAGCCCCTCCAACACCAGGAATTCCTAAAGAGGCTGGTTTTAATATTGCCTGAATCCGTTTAAGTCAAGGTAATATTGTTTGGGTTACCATAGGAACAAAATACGTCTCCGTTGCTGGCAGTGGGTTACAAGGAGGTTTGGGAGGCTGTGCCGTGGATGCGGCTGCACGACGTCTAGGAGCATCTTCCTGCCGAAACCACGCTGAGGGACGGTGCGAGAAACAAGCGCGTCCCCTGGTTCGTAATGAAAAGTGCATTTAGGAACAGCAGAGTCAGGAGCGAGATCTCTGCACGCTCCCAGAGAAGAGCAGAGCCTCGGCAGCGGCAGGAGCACCTCCAAGTGCCTGTAGGTCCCGACAGCTACATCCCGTGTCTTTGGAGGGACCCTTACGCTGCCTGAGCCTCCCAGTCCACGTGCTTCCACTTCTGTTTTGACCAGGTCTCCCCACGTCCTTACTCAACACTTTGGTTTCCTCAAAATCCCACCTGGAGTTTGATTTCTGTTCAAGATTTCCTCGCTATCAGCTTTTATTCCTGTGAAAACTCAGAAGCTGCCCAGCAAGCAGAGGCAGGTGCGTGCACACAGGTACACGTCCCACGTCCCACGTCCTTCTTACCAGCTTGCCCCTAATTACCTTTGCAAGTGATAGAATTTGATTTTCCTGCCGGGGGATTGCTCACCTGGATGGAAAAAGCGTCAGCAGCGGGAAGGCAGATGGGCTGATAGGTGGGAACATCTTTGGGGATATCAGAGAAGGTGGCTCTGGAGCGAGCGGGACGGTTACTCCCAAGTCAGCGTCATGAGAGAGGCTTGGGGCTCCAGGAAGGGTTTTTGACAGCCGGTTCTTCGCGCTGATGGGCTCTCAAGGCGAGAGGACCGGCGGCGTGGGCAGAAGAGCAGCCTGGCAGCTGCCCGATGGAGAGCAAGCACATCTGCACCGTCTGCCAACTCGGAGACAGCACGTGTCACCCAAGCAAGGATGAAGATACCCGGTATCTTAAGGAGAGCTTTGACACTGGGCTGGAGGCCAAATTCACGGGCTGCCCGCACTCTTCCTGCCAAGGAGGTATTTGAGGCCAGCTCTGGGGCCAGACGGCTGGCAGGAGCACGGGCAGCAATGCCCCAAAAGTCCCAATGCTATTTCTCTATTTCTTTTTTACACCTGGACACTACAGCAGCACCCAACATCTCGAAGCTTGCTGAAATCTCGGTCACACCAGCATCCTGCAGCAAGGAGTTACCGAACTCCGTGAAAAACAATTCCTTTACTTGATACCCTCACCCCACCTACAGCTTGATACCCTCACCCCACCTACAGCTTCACTGGCCCCTTTTTGCCATCAACAATTTGCTTTTCTTCTAGTGACATTCACCAGCAGAACAGCTGAGGAGGACCCGGCGTGTAATTAATTTCCCCCGGAGAAGTTCAGTAAAGTTTCCAGGTGTGGAGCAGCGGGGAGAGGAACTGCAGCTGCCATTCAGCGTGACCTGGACAGGCTGGGAAGCCGGGCAGAGAGGAACCTGAT